CACACTCCAGACTTGTTTAAAAATGGATTTATGAAAAAACCAGCAAACTTGGTGGAAGAAAAGGCTCTGAGTTATTATTATTATTATTATTATTATTTGGATGGAACACCTCGAACACGTGGATACATTAGTGATTCAGTGCCATAATACTTTTAAGGTCTTTTAACACCTCACTTCTAACACCTCCTTAAATTAAGTTCCCTGACATCTCAGAGGACCCACCAGCTGGATCTCATCACTCAGCAATTTCTTTCAGAAATGAAATCGAAAAAGCAATTGTGACCCTCCAACTCTTTTGGGGCAAAAAATTATCCTCAGACTTCCAAAAGAGATCAGATAGATGAGAAAGTGCCTGCAGTTCTGGCCAAGCAGTAATGAGACCTTCACAGAAATGCCTTTTATCTTCCAAAGGCAGGAATCAAAGGAGAAGAGCATTTGACAGGGGCTCTTTCAGTCCTGGAATTAAAATATAAAGTGGCAGGTTCCAAAAGGCCCTATAAATACATTGGAAGTGAGAAGTAATTGGGTCTTCTGTGAACCAGGAAAGAAGAACAGGTTTTAAAAAACCCTGCACCAAAAATACTCTGAATGACAGGCAGGCTCCTGGCTGGGAAGCCCCAGATAAAAACTGTGCATTTTAGAGTTAAGAACAAGCAGGATATAATTCCTGACTAACTCAGGAGAGAAAAGCAGGCCCTTTGGGCTAAGGATTACATGCCTCAGATAAATTTAACATGAAAAAAAAAAAAGAAGAGTACTTTAAAACCTATCTCGGCCTCTGCCAGAAATAAAAGGCACAAATTCCTGGGCTTACACCTCACAAAGTGAAGAGAAATATAAAACCAAACAAAACCTGCAGTTTTGCAGCTGAATTTCAACCAGGTTCTGAAAGGAATCTGAGCTCTTACAGTGGTATTAATTTAATGTGATAATGTAAGAAGGAAATAGTCCATCTGCTTGTAAAAGAACCAGGATAACTGTAATAGGTGGAATGATTGGATCCATTAGATGGGCTTATTTCCCTAACAGGATCCTGGAGTGAATCCATGAGTGCACTGCTGGGATGTGCACTACTGGAACTCACACCCAGAGCAAGGAATGATTAGAACAAGCAAGAAAACTGCAGATAAATATGAGACAGGTCCTTGACAAACAAATAAAACCACAGAACCTTCCAGAATATGGATTCAGAGAACAGAACTGCCCTGGAAGAAGGGCTCAATTAGGGGAAAAAAAGCCTCAAACACTCCAAGAAGCAGCAGTGAGAAGGTGTTTAATGCACCTGCCAGCCCTGGCCACTGAGCTTTTGGCCACAGTCATCCTGCTGCATCTTCAGCCAGAAGGAATAACAGGATGGAGCAAAGCACAGTCCTCTGACACTCTAAAACAAACACATCCCTCATAAATATAACTCTGGATACAAACATGAGTCAGAGAACTTGTATGTCTGCATCTCTCTAAATTAATTTACACTGGAAAAACCAAGGTGATCTGTAACTCTGCTCAGCTGTCTGGCAGCTTTGGGGAATATCCATTTATGTCAGAAGGAAATACAGCCTAATCAAAACACTATTGCAGGCATAATGTGTCCTCAAGGCATTACTGTAAACCATCCTGAGTGCCCTTGAGTCACAGGAGAATTTTTGTTAAGACAGGAGATTAAATATGTGCTCACACGCACATGGACTGAGCACTGTGAAACCCCAGGAGTGAAGCTCTGAAAGGACACCCAGACCCCCAAATTTAACCACAGGGCATCACACAGTCTGCTGCTGCAGTGGAAATCCAGTTATTTTGACTGGCATTACTGCATGCAACGATATGTTCAGATGTATGTAACTGTATTCTTCTTATAAAAATATTTTGTGTGTTCCTGAACTACAACACCATCGAGCACCAAAGGGGGAAAACCCACCCTGGCTGAGTCCAAATAAATGTTAACCACAGTTCTTAGAGAATCTGCTCAGCAGTTTCTGAAGGAGGAGTAATAAGAAGGCATTTTACTGCTACCACTACCGGGGATCTTTTAATCAGGAAGAACGATCAAAACCACATCAGAGCCTCTCGGAATTGTTAGCTTGACTCCACTGCCCCTGTTTGGGAACTGCTACTGCAAATGAAAGACACAGCAAAGCACAGGAATTTCAAAGGCCACTGTGCTCCCTTGGATTGCCCAAGAAAAGAACACAATGCCTTTAACCTGCTTCAAAGGTTTATTCCCCCAGTGGAATGCAAAATGAAGGGAGTGCGGGAAACGAAGACACACACACAGACAGAGACACCCTGGTGGGCTGTCACCCACCCACAGAACCTCAGCTCAGCACATGGCAGGTGAATCTTCCTTTTCAGGCACACCTGAACCCTCCAACAGATTGATTTTTCCCAACACAGAACTCAGGAGTTGGGAGTTTATTCCCAGTTCTCAGAGATGGGTTTAGCTCTGAGGCCACCGGGACAAACCAGAGCACCAAAACCACCAGAGGGGCTTCATTTCCAGCTTCCAATGAACATTCTACATCATTGTAATGACAAATAAATTTAAAATGTCAATAAATACCTTATCTTTTTAAAGCACCTGAACGGGGGAAAGTCTCAAACCCCCTCAGTGTCCCCACGGAAAGTGCCCAGACAAAATCCTACCAGTGAAGGCAACACCGGTGGAGGGACCTGAAGGTCTGCACTGACCACGTGAAAATTAAGGAGTAAAAAAGAAAGAACACCCAGGTTTTAGACAGGTGCATTCACTGGGAGGGTGGGGAGGCCCTGGCACAGGTTCCCCAGAGAGGCTGTGGCTGCCCCTGGATCCCTGCAAGTGTCCAAGGCCAGGTTGGATAAATTTGGAGCAACCTGGGCTGGTGGAAGGTGTCCCTGCCCACGGCAGGGGTGGGACTGGATCATCTTTAAGCTCTCTTCCAACTCAAACCATTCTAGAATTTATTCCAGGAGGTGGGAGATTCCTCAAGGTCCTGTCAGTGCCTTTTGTATCCTATTAGCTAAGTTCTCTCCTTTTTATCTGCTTTTAAAGTATCAAATTTGTAGTTTGCCAGAACTGCAAGGCAAATAAGTAAAGCAAATTTTAGGCTTATAATGCTGAATGCAACACAGAAATGTATGTGGAGGATTTACGGATTTTTTTTCCTTACTGTGTTGCAAAGAAACACAGAATTCAATATATTTATTTTTAAAAAATCGAGGCAGCAATGAATTCATCTAATGTCCTGTTATAGTTTGGTGGCTTATCTGAAAAATTGTTTTCCAGTGGAGGGATGTTTTCCATTTAGTCACTGTTAATACAACAAACCTGATCATCTCCTTTTCCTATTCCCCCTCCTGCCCTGAAGACTGTCAAACGGAATTCTCAATAAAACAACTTATTTCAAAGGCAGAATTGTAATAAATTAAACATACAGCACAGTCATTAGGCACTAGAAGAAACCTCATCTATTAAATTCTGTCATGTTATTTTTCAATATATGAATAAGAAAAAACCCATCTCCTCTGCTCAGAACTGACATTTTCCATTCACAAAACAACAAACACGCATTTGCAGAGCTGTGCATGTTCAAGACCCTCAGTATTGCTCGGGGAGACAAGGCAAAAGGAAAAATAGGGCCTGCTAACAGACCATGTGACAGAAGAGAGGTTTTTCATCCAGAAACCACAGCTTTATTTGCCTGTGTTGGTTTTCCAAAGGTATCAGAGGCCTTGACCTTTCCCGGGGTTTAAACTGCCAATGTGACACAAATCCCAAGAGGACGGAGCCATCTGCTCGTGGGGCTTCCCCAAACCTGCCTTTCCATGCAGGTCCCTCCTCGGATGACCCACTCCTGCAGCAGTTCCTACAGAAGGAAAATCTCCTTTACGAAGCCATGGATGGCAATCACCACCTCGAGCCCGAATTCCTACAGGAGTCCTGGCAAAACAGCCTTTTTCCTGCTTCGAGATCCACACCAAGCACAAAACCAGGATGAACTGCTTGAACTCCTCATGAAAATGTCTTCAGGATCCAACCAAGGCACCCAGGACTCTCACCACGCATTAAAAATGAGGGGGCAAATTCTGGCAATGTGAGAAATAACTCACTTCACCCAAAGGAAACCAGCCCGTTTTTCCATTGAATTTATCACCACTGCTTCTCCACATCCTCACTCATGGTTTCCCAAGGAACATCCATATGCACTATTTACACAGATGCACGAGCACAAATAAACACTGTCTCCCAAAATATTTAAAATGTGCTGCCAGATGGCTTTAAAAAAAAAAAAAAATCGAAATGAAAGATCTAATTAAAAGCTCTTACCCTGCCAACACTCCATTTTTGGAAATAACTACAAAAGTTAAATAAAAATAAAAAACCCCAACGTTTTTCGAGCCTATCAATATTTTTGTCATGTTTTGCTTCACAATTACAATCTCCCCTGATCTCCATCACGGATCAAACAGGCCAAGCCACATCAACCAGTGCTAATTGTAAACTCCTTTCTTGGGCTGGTGGAAAAAGGAGACTGGTAGAAACGATGACCAAATTTGGGCAATTACTCTTTTGATTCCACCTCTCCCCAGTCCTCTCTCTCCCCCTCCTCTTTAAAAGTTAAAAAAAACAAACAAAAAAAAAATAAATTGCTGCTGCCATCACCAGTTTTGTCTGTAACAAAGCAGATTTCACTGCCACAGTTATCACAGGCATTTTGAGAGGGGAAAAAAGTTATTTTCTTATTTTCCACAACCGAAACACGAACCTTGACATTTGTTTACTCCTTGTTTTTCCCTACATCTCATCTCCCCAATAAAAGCAGATGATGGTTTACACACACTTTAAATAAATATACACGTATTTTCAAATATTAAAATCACAGCATTAAAATGAAGTATAAGGATGTTTTGAGATCATCAGGTGAGCCCATGTGCTCATCAACAAGAAGAAAAACCCAGAACACACGTGGAAGGGGTGGTGGCAGAGCTGTCCCTGTCCCACCCTCGAGGAGGTGACTGTTACTTACCACTGGACCTGTTTTTGCGGTTTGACTTCCCTCCTGTGAGAAGCATCTTGAGACTGTTTCGAAACATGGTGATCCCGTTCCACTCGGTGTATCCCAAACACTGCAGAAAGCAGAAGAACAGGTGGACAAAAATCAAAAACAACTCCAATTTGGACAACAGGAAACAGTTATGAAGCGGTAAAAAAATTGCTAAACCCGAGAGAAAAACTTAAAATGATGAAAAATTACTTTGTCAATACAGTCTCTAACAACAAAAATCAACATTCACATAAAGCCCACCATTCAGCTTGTTTTCAGTTCATAGAATCACAGAATCAGCTGGGTTGGAAGGGACCTCTGAGATCATCAAGTCCAACCCTTGATCCAACCCCGCCGTGGTTCCCAGCCCATGGCACTGATGCCACATCCAGTCTGTCCTTAAACACCTCCAGGGACGGAGAATCCACCCCTTCCCTGGGCAGCCCATTCCAATGGCTGAGCACCCTCTCTGCAAAGAAATTCTTCCTAATATCCAACCTAACCCTCCCCTGGCACAGCTGAAGACCCAGCCCTCTTGTCTTGCTGATGGTTGCCTGGGAAAAGAGACCAACCCCCCCCGGCTCCCCCCTCCTGTCAGGGAGTTGCAGAGAGTGAGGAGGTCTCCCCTGAGCCTCCTCTTCTCCAGACTGAGCCCCCCCAGCTCCCTCAGCCTCTCCTCCCAGCACTTGTGCTCCAGTCCCTTCCCCAGCCTCGCTGCTCTCCAGGCTATTTCCAGCACCTGCCTATTTTGTCAAATAGTTTGACTGAATTATCATCACACTGAAGTGGCAAAGACTCAGCATTTTGCAAAATGCCTCCATTTCCCACCTCTGTTAAAGCCAAAGCCATCAGAAGGAGTTGCTGCCCTTCCTGTTGCTCAGAAAATCAATCCTGCTGACACCAACCCCGACTCCAGCCGTGGCTGACTGTCAAATTCTTTGTGAGTTGAATAAATTGTCATGAGGAGACAAGTCACTCAAACCCGGAGTAACTGATGCAAAAAATCAAACAGAAACATTATCCCTACATTTTCCTTGCTCTGTATGTCTGAGGTAAAAAAAAAAAAAAGGTTGTCTGAGTGCTGCTGAAGATAAAAGAGTGTCTGGGATCACCAGGCACAGTGACAGCCTGTGCTGGGGAACAGCCACTTATTAAAGCAGGTAAAGCATCAAAACACCTCCAACAAAAGCAGCTCCAAACCAGACCAAAAGGATTGTAAAGAGTCTTTGATCAGGACATACAACAAACCACAATTTTCCTTCTATTGTACACATGAGCTTCCACAGTTACAAGGTAACACATTCATCTTGTAGAAATAAATAATGACATTTTCCCCTGTAACAATATTAGGTTCCTCTTGGAGGATGCTCAGGAAATGCCATCTTGAGTTTCTTCACTTATCTGATATTTTCAAGTCTGTTAATACAATAATACCCAGTTCAAAGAGCTTTCTATGTATATTTAAAGCCACTGAAAGTCCTTGTAATATGATTTATTCACAGAGAGACACCAGCATTCCAGGGCAGCAGCTTGGAGCACACACATCCCAAACCCCAGGCAGCACAGAGGGGTGACAGCAACTCCAGCCTGTCCTGACTTCCACACGTTCCCACTCACTTATCAGATCTCACAAGCAGGTTTTAGGGTCTGTCTGTGTGCAAGAATGGATTCATGCACGGATGAATGTCACACAGAAAATGCAGAACCGGAATTTCATTTGCACCTACGAATTACAAGAGCATCACCTGGGCCACCAAAGCACAAGGAGCTGGTGTTCAGGCTCGTTCCCAGGGCTCCTAAGTGAAGTTTAGGTCCCCTCTGAAGCATCCCAGGTGGGAGAGGGAAAGAAAGGTCTTTTGGATGGGGCTCTGAGCAACCTGCTCTAGTGGAAGGTGTCCCTGCCCGTGGCAAGGGGTGGGACAAGATGATCTTGAAGGTCCTTTTCCAACCCAAACCACTTTGATTCTGTGATTTCAGTTTAGCAGCAGCTCCTGACGTGGTTTCTCACTGCATCCCACGCACAGTGGTGAGGAACTCTGAGTGTGAGCGCTCACCAGACTCACACCCTGAGTGAGGTTTTCACCTCACAGAGCAGCAGGTTCAGCAGGTGACCAGAACCAGCTGCTGGTTTCCATTTTCACGCACAGCCACGTCCTTCTGTGGCTTTGAGCACACGTGGTCACAGCTCTCCCTCTGTTCACTAACACTGAGCCAGAAAGAACATGTAAGAATAAGCACTCGAAATTAAAAATTCTGTTGCTCCTATTAGTTCACGGAATTAGAAGGATTAAACAGCAAATGGCATTACATTATGAGCAGGAGCTGGATCAGGCCTTTTTTCACCTCCCAACAAGCTCCTCAAGGCATCTCCCAGCCCAGGTTAATTCCCTGTGCCAGCAGAAGCAAAAGCTGCAGGAATGTGATGGGGATCCCTTCCCATCTCCACTGCCACGGGATAACTGTCATCAATTGGGGCAACCAAGAGCTCCTACACTTTATTGGTCATTTATCTTCTCACCTGTAGCTTGAATTAACCAAACCTAATGAAGACTTGTGTGAGCACCAGTCTCCAAACAGCATCAGCAGGTGAATAAAAAGGTACAACCCCTAAAATACCTTTTTAGAACAAACAGCTCAAGAATCTGGTTTATGTCCACATAAACCGTGGACATTTATCCTCTAAGAAACCTAAATTTCAGTTAAATACACAATCCACAGCAGTTTCTGGAGCATGAGGAGGCAGCAGCACAAATATGATGAGGGGAAAAAAAACAAACCCCAAAGGCAATGGAGGTAGAGGCAAACTGAGCTCTGCAACCTTGCACTGAGCCCCAACAAATCTGGGACAGCTCATTAAATCCTCTGCAATGACTAAGGCCTATTGCTTTGTTTTCTTAATTTTAAGACAAGAGTTTGCAGACAGGCTGCAAAAACCACTTCACATTTTGGGTGGCTACACATTATTACAGCCCACAGAAGTCGGTTTGGCTTCTTTTTATAGAAAAAACACGGAATTAAAAATCACAGCAATTTTTTTTTTTTTTCACCCATATACCACCAGCAGAAAGCCAGATCCCCGTATTTTCCTCTTCTCTGATCACCTCACTAAAAATAAAATTATTTCTTTATAGAAAGCTGATTAGCAAAGCTAAGCTCTTGTTCAAAAGGGTGTTTGATGTGCAGTGAGTCGGACAAACATCGCTGAGCCACCGCTGGCAAGTTTTGTGCACGTTAATAGGAGAAGCTATTAAATGTATATCCTCAGATTAGAACTCTGGGTTTTTTCCACAGGTTTCTAACTACAAAAGGAGGAAGGGAATGCAACAAGTCATATGTGAAAAGCACATTTCTTAAGGATTTTATTTCCCCTTTAAGTTTTCGGTTCCTTTCTCGCCTCTGTAGTGAAAATACCCACAAGGGACAGGCATTGGTGGGAAATAAAGCTACTGTAAACATTTTGGTGTTCCAAACACTTTAAAAGGAACAGATTTCTTTATACATGTTCACAATTGAAATTTTAGCCAGGAGAAGGCCCAACCAGGCTGTGCTTTACAAGGATGCTCCCGAATTTCAGCAGCACAGCAGAGTTTTAACTCAATGGGTGAAAAGGACAACTTAACAACAAAAAAAAAAGCCTTTATTGCCAAGTTGGAGGTGGTTCAACAGTTCTGGCAGCTGCCTCTTCAGATATTAATTTGTGGTTGAAGAGAGAAGTCCAAGGCTGTGCACAGGAACACCTCTGTGCCAGCCCATGGGATCCCAGCAGCTCCCTGCCTGGGTCAGGCAGCAGCAAATGAAGACACAATTTGCTTCCAGGACCTTCATAATATTCAACAGAAGTTTATGAACATTATGGAGTCAAAAATTCTCAAAACATTATATTGATAAAGTAAAAGTATTAGCAAACTTCTATTAAAACATATTTTTTCAATGAGAGTCTCACTGTTCATTCCTTTATTCATCTCCTTTGTCCACTTCGTAAGATCCTGAGGCATCACATTCCCCAGTGAATTTTCCCTCAATTCCCAAAAAGAATGATGGAAAGACATTTTTTTAAAAAGAATGATTCCTTATGTGTTTTTCAAAAAAAAACCCCAAAACCAACAACAAAAAAAAAAAACCAAAACCAAACAAACAAAAAAATCACCAAAACAACGACAACAAAACAAAACCAAAAACAAACAAACAAAACCCACCCCAAAGTCCTTTGAGAGAAAATCCACTCAGTTATGCAAAATAACAGAAAAACTCCTTACTCATAAAACATTCCCTCTCAAAGGTTCCTGGGAGCACAAGATTCTCTCTCTTCATGAGCAAAGCTGAACTCACCACAGCAGAAATTAATAAGTGTGCATAATAAGTATCTTACATTAAGATGCCAAAAAAAGGGAACCTTTCTGAGTATTAGTTTTCAGGATTTAACAACATGTAAAGCCTAAATTAACATTTTTGTGAACAGAAAATCTAACCTTTCATAAATTAGTGAATCACTTTTAAAGAGCAGTCAAGCTTCGGGAAGGAAGAGGTAACAAGGACTTTTTTTTTATACAAGTGACAGACTTCTAAAGCTAATTATAACAAGATGAAAGAAATTGATAAATGAAAGGAAAACACACGACAGAGTTTGGCTTTCAAGCATTTACTCCACATACAACTCAGACTGTACACAGAAATCTGTAGCTGCTGCCAGACTGAAACTTCCCATGCTCCTCAAAGCAATTATTCAGAGTTTAAGCTGAACTCTCATTTTAAACTGTCGTGAAATTCGAGAGGATGTTTTGAGATGACGGGGACCAGAGAACACTGAAAGCCACACTTGGACGCTCACGGGAGGACTGGGGCTGTCACATGTCACCACTGAGAACCACCAGGGGCTGGCAGAAGCTCCTGGATCATCCATGATGATCAAATCCATTAAACTCTGCCTCCCAGAACACTCTGACTCACCCCAGGAGTGGGAATAGCTGACTACAACAACCCTGAAGTCAAAAGAAACACATATTTTTGATAGCTTGGTCCCGCGCGCACTTTAAACACCACGGGAGCAAAATTCAGAGATGAAATATTTCCAGGAACTTCAGGAATGAAAACAGCATTGTTGGGACCCAGCAAGCATGCCAAGAACTTCGAGGATTACTTGGAAATAGGAAAACAACAAAGGAACTGAAAGGACTAAACCCTACCAATTAGAGGTCTTTAAGCAATTAAGAGTTTATTAAACGAAGTTCTCTAAACTAATAGGCTTTAGAACAACTGTGTGTGAACAAAAATGAATTGTTCGATGTTTGTTCCCTCCCAAAAGCCTGAAGACTAATACTGGTGATGGGGGGCTTGATGTTCATCCCCTCGGGCCCTTCCTAAAATACTTGGAGGCATCTTGACTGTCTTTCCTACAGATCCTGCACTGACCCCTGGAACTTGTGCTCTCTCCTGTCCTCCTGAGATGTCCCCACTTTCTTTGCTTCTCCAGCTGTCTTTGATGGAAATACATAAACATACATCCATAAACCACCAAACCCAGCATCCCCACTGGAAAAACGTGGGCAGCAAAGTCAACACGACGCCGCCTCACAAGGAAGCAGCTTCAACCTCTGCTTTCATTTTATCAAATAGAGCAGCTGGTAATGCCCCAGTTAAAAAGCAATCCTGAGAGCATTACATGGTAATAATCCCATGTTTGTGGAGTTCCCAACAACAGCCCCGAGGTGAATGTGGCCAAACACATTCCTTGATGAGTCTGTGGTGATGATGCTCACTTCAAGTCTGTGGGGTTCGTGTTCACAGGTAATTTTTATACAGTTAGAGCCCGAGAGGAAGGAGACAAGCACCGTGTTATTATGAAAACCCACAGAGTTGAGTCGGAGGAACAGCTCACTGTGGTGCTGTGCTTGGAAAACAGCACTTCCAGAGGGTTAAAGAGCTTGGCCACGGAGACTGCAGCAGCCCCTGGAGCTGGGAGGCAGGAGGACAAGACCCTTCATCCCTCAGCTCTGGGCAGGCTTGAGTTCCTCATCCTCTGCTAACAGGGCATTGTTTTTCCTTTTGTCTAGAACAGTCGTACTTTGAGTAAGAAGGATGGAGAACAAAAGCACAACTGCTCCAGGAGAGATGCCACTGACAGACAGCTCATGACTCACTCTGAGCTCAGAGGAACTCACCACTCTCATCAACAATCAGCAGATAACCCTGCCAACCACAGAATACCAGCTAATGCACCCTGCAACCTTAATTCTCACTCAAAGTTTGAATTTACTCTTCTGGGAAAAGGCTTTCTCCAGCAGTGCTTTTTATTTAAGTGTTGGGATTTACCACCTACTTAAAATAAGATCAGAAACTCTACAGAAAGAGCACAGTCACTCACGAGGAGAAAGTCAAAAGTCAGAACCAGTTCTCTCTTCAACATGAAAATGTGGTGACCTTGAAATTAAGGAAATTTAATTTTGAACAGGGCTTTGTCATTTTGCATAACCTGGTTTCTAATTCTGGATTAATGATACAGACAATTCCCGAGGGACTCTTCCAGTCTCCATATACAATGTCAATTATAGAGCCTTGGAGAGCAGTGATAACCACAGGGAAGTTAGGAATGCCATCACCTCACTTCCAGCAACTCCTCTGCAGGGCTTTTAGTGCCTTCTGTGCTGCCCAGAACAGCTAAAATCATATTTTAAACATTATTAGTAGCTGCCTCCATCAACAACCACGTGAACGGGGATTTAAGCCTGAACTAAAACGTGGCACAATCCTGCACAAGTTGACTCAAATTAAACTGCCTTGGGAGGAATTTTAAGGCACTTCCTACAGCTGGAATCAACAACCCTCCCTCTGCCAGGACCAACAACAGTGATTCTGCCCCAAAGCACCACAGGACTGAAGCACAGCGAGATTCCTGCATTTCAACTTTTGGCAAAGACACAGAGCAGCCAAAAACCCATCAGTCAAAACCACACCAGCTCCAAACTGCACGTTCTGTTCGAGGCTCCCTTCAGTCTGAAGTTACTTCTGAAGACACACTGGTGTGACAGAAAAATGAAAACGAAAAAACTAGGCAATGTATAAAGTGTGGGGAAATGCTACAGCACTTCACTGCTCAGGCACTAAAGGAAATGTGAATTATTTGCTTAATTTTTAAATAATCAAAAATATATCTTAGATACAGACCTAGTTAAGGAGTTGCTGTAAGCCTGTTCTGCAAACCTGCCCAAGTCTCAAGAATATTCAATACAGAAGTCAAGTTCAATCCATTGGCAAGCACTGGAGATTTTGTCAGAACACAGAGTATTTTGGATTTTATATAAAAAAAGCCTTGAAACAATTAAGATACCAAAGTACATTTCCACAGAATGCAGTGTCCCTATTATACACTTTGTTTACAAAAAAGTATCAATATTTTAGTTAGAATGAACTCAATAACATAAAATGTATAATTTTATTACATCTGTTTTCCTGTCGATCACCTCCAGTAGGGAAAGACAGGGAATGATCAAACACTAATATGTGGAAACTCCTACATCTTTTTCTCTAAATACAGAAACAATCAGGATAAAAATCAGTAAAACTGATACAGGAAGACAATGCCCCTCCTGCTCCATGTTCCAAATCCAGGTGATCACAGATCAGCAAAGAAACAACTGAAGACAACTGCAATTGTATTTAAACAATTCAATAACTCCTGCAAAGAAAAGTGGGACTGTAAGAAGGAAAAATTCTCCTACCTTGATATCTTTAGACGAGTTAAACCTCTAGTAAAAAGTGTCCTCCTCCATTCACTGCAAGTCCTGAAAGACATAAAAAAAACCACAAGAGAATTTAGCAGCATCTTCTCAGCACCCTCTGTGCCCCACAGTGGCCACATGCACTGAGCTACAACCATCCCATCCCAGGAATAAACCCACGGATTTCCCAGTGTGTCACTGTGGAAGCACCAGGCAGCCCCTGCTCTTTAGCCTAACAATTAAAAAGTGAATGCTCCTGCTCTTCAATCTGTGAATCAATACTAATTTCAGTCACTTGCCTCTTCCCTCTCATCGCTTTTCAGTCGGGAGGAGAAGAAAAGCAGAGAAATTTCCCTCGGACACACATCATATAATGCACTATTTAACAAGCAGTATGTTAATTCCAAATATTTCCCTTCATCCCAGCAAGTTCTCCTGCTAAAACCCTGCAACCTCCCCACTGGGTTTTTTTTTTAAACTCAATCCTTACATAAACACAACTCCCAAGAGGGATCCAGCACTAAATCAAGGGTTCAGTCCTTGGCCCTTTGCTCTGTCATCACATACTCAGAACAAGTTCATCAACAAAAAGCCACGAGAAATGTATCTTGTAACTTATTGAAAAAGACCAGAGCAGCTTTTTTATTCCCAGCCTGTGTTTTATTTGTGCTGACGATATTGTGTTACAGCCTCCACCAATCCATTGTTTCAGAAATCTCATTTGAGAACCAGCAAACAGAAGGAAATACAGACACCTCTCATTTGTCATCAAACAAACAAACACCAAAAAAAAATCCCAGGAAATTGAGGCCACCTTAAGTTTAAAGCAAAGCAGAATAATTGCTCAGCCACTTCAGGGAGGTTTTTTTATGCTACTGCAAGAGGATGCTGAGAAGTAAATGACAGTTTTATTTGGGATTCACAACCGTAACAGCAACTTCTCCAACGGTCTTATATGAATAATTCTGTATATAAAGCTGTAAGACATTCCATAAATTCATGCAGTGATCCTATCTCACTTCTCAGGGCTGCCAGTTACCTCCCTGCCTTCCACTCTTCCCTTCTGTGGAAAAAGAACTGAGGAGCCAGCGAGCAGCACAGCCATGCCCTGGGAGAGGGCTGGAAACACAGCTCATCCCACAGCCTGGGCAGGGATCCCCGGGACAGGAGGAATGGTCCTTCTCCAAATTCCCTTCCCAGGTCCTGCCAAGCCCTGGGTGTGCCCCAAATCACCCGACTGCCCCCGAATCCACCTCTGGTAGGAACTGAACTGCTAAAAAGACCCAGCTCCAAATTCCTGGCTGAGTGTCCAACCCCGGAGAGCACAAGAGCACGGGGTGGAACTTGTTTTAACTGAGCCCCCACGGAGGATAAACCCAAACACATTCTGATTAAAGAGCATTTTTATTAGATATTTTGTCACATAAAGGAAGTCCCTGGAGGGGAACTTTTCACAAGGGCCTGGAGGGACAGCACAGGGGGGAATGGCTTTAAGCTGAAGGAGGGCAGGGTTAGATGGGATATTGGGAAGAAATTCTCCCCTGGGAGGGTGGAGAGGCCCTGGAACAGATTTCTCAGAGAAGCTGTGGCTGCCCCTGGATCCCTGGAAGTGTCCAAGGCCAGGTTGGACGGGGTTTGGAGCAACCTGGGATAGTGGAAAGGGGTGGGACTGGATGGTCTTGAAGGCCCCTTCCCATCCAAACCATTCTAGGATTCTATGATTCCAAAAAAAAATAATAAAATATTTCTTAGATCCTAAACAGACAAAAGCCAAAAAGGATCTTATAACACTCAGCTTTCTCCACAATTCTTTTAACTGGTCACAAATCAGGTACCTGCAAACACCTCAGGTAGGTGAGAGAGAGAAGAGAAATTCTTTCTTTCAAAAGCAGCAAGGTTACAATTTTTGGAAAACTGAAAACATTCACCTAATAACTCAAAATAACTGCTTATAAATGTTTCAGTCTGCTGCCATCTATCTCCTTCCTCCAGCTCTTAATGGGATCCCCTGTAAAACAAAGAGCAGCACTGGTCTGAGCTGGGGGAGCTCCGAGCTCCCCATCTGCATTCCCAGAGCGGAGCTGATGAATCTGCACTGAGCTTTTCAACAGCAGAGCTTTCATCTGCTCCCAGGACTCCATTAGAAATCTTTATGTGAATGCAGCAGATATTAGTGGGTTGTCAATAAAAGCTGAATGTCATTAAAGTGCTTTTATTCTTTAAATGCCTTTAACCCTCTAATTATATTTGGAAATTCCGCTATTGAACTGTATGAAAGTTATAAATCCTGACGTGTTGTATCACAACAAATACATTTAGACTAATACACAAACGGTTTTGGGGGCAGGGGAGAATCAATTTTAGAATTATTCCCCCTTGATTAAACACATAAATCTCAACTGGTGTGTTTCAATCACGAGCAACACTCAGCCAGGGTTTCTGCAGATATTCCAAGTTTGGGGGGTAAAAACCTCTGGCCCGTGGTATGGCTGCAAGTCATAACATACAGCTTTCAAAAAAGTAAAATTAGCTCTTTTTATTATATCAGCATTGTTTTTCCAAGTTCTCTTGGACTTGGCAGGGAGAAGGGAACAGTCCTTGAGCATCTCAACTCTCACCTCCCAACCCAGAAGGGACTTTGCTCTGCTGGTTTCCTCCCCACTCAAGGTGGGAATCGGGTTAACACGGGCACAAACAGTCCCTGTCCTGCCAACTGCACCATTTCCTGGGGCTCCAGACTCCTTCTGCCTCTGCCCATCAGTGAAGAAGGCAACTGCTGCCAGCTGGGACTTCTGCCCATAAAATCCAACTGGGAATTGCCAGCCAGCAACTTCCAATTGCCATCCAGGTTGGCAAATGTCAAACGTGACCGAGGAACAGGAACGTTCCCAACTTCCACAATAATAAAAAAAACCCAACAATCTAAGGATTGCTTTTAACACCAGAATCAGGTAACTTATGTCAGGGACAGCACAACCAGGAACAAAACCCACTGAGAATGTCAGAATGTGACACAGGAGAGCAGGAAAACACTTCACCCCCAGATCCCTTTGCTGACTTTGCATCCAGCTGATTTCTTTCCTTTGGAACAATCCCCAGCCCAGAGAAATATCAATTCAACTGCACAGTTCCTATACCATGTTTACCTTCCCACTGCATCCACCACTTTATTCAACTTCACCCACTGTAACAGAAATCATCCACTTGAAAAAGTTTTTGGATAACTCTCTGCATTTGGGACCTTTTCCCCTCCTCACAGCAGTTGAGTGAAGCCCTCGTGCCCAGAGCTGCTCAAGGAAGGGGCTGGGAAGGAACAGCCTTGAGAGAATCTCATTTGAGAACCAGCAAACAGAAGGAAATACAGACACCTCTCATTTGTCATCAAAAAAAACAAACACCAAAAAAAATCCCAGGAAATTGAGGCCACCTTAAGTTTAAAGCAAAGCAGAATAATTGCTCAGCCACTTCAGGGAGGTTTTTTTATGCTACTGCAAGAGGATGCTGAGAAGTAAATGACAGCTTTATTTGGGATTCACAACCGTAACAGCAACTTCTCCAATGGTCTTATATGAATAATTCTGTATATAAAGCTGTAAGACATTCCATAAATTCATGCAGTGATCCTATCTCACTTCTCAGGGCTGCCAGTTAATAAGAGAACAAAGAAATGCTATCAAAAAGCACAAGTTAGGAATAATGACACCAAGTCAAGTGAGCAAACACTCAAGAAATACAAGAATGAAGGTTTAGCACGTTCAGGAGAGGAGGGAGTCAAGCAGCTCAGACACAAAGCAGTCACCTGCAGGCCTGAGGTCTCAAATAATTTCTTGCTTATACACCTGTGGAGGCAATAACTACTGAGTTCTTCTGCAGAAGAATGTGTTAAAAATAGCCAAAAAGTGTAAAACAGCAAAAAGACACACATTGACCATCCCTGTAACATCACATTTGCCTTCAACTATTTCTTAAAAAGAGCTTTTCCTATATTCTGTTAAATATATGAGGATATGGTTTGCAAGTTAAACTCAATTTTTAAATATCCCAGTGCATGAGGGCACCAAAAAGGCATAAAATCGAAGCCAGCTGAGTGAGTGCCCAAAAGGAGGGCTCCTAATTAATACAGAAATAATTGCAACAGGTAAGAATGGTCCATGAAAAAAATCCCAGTACTGTCAACACTTTCAGGTGTCAAAATTCAGCACCTTCCTGTCACTCTAACCCAGAAGACAACCGCCTACAAAACCAATTAATGCTTTCAGGTACAGCAGCACATGTTCCAGCTGCAGTATTTTCCTGTCAAGCTAAAATCCATGACAGAAAAAAGAGACTTAAAGCCTTAAGAGTCGAGAAACAAAACCAGGAAAGCTTCCACCCAGAGCAACCTGACTGGAGCTGGAAAGAGGGATGGTCTGAAATGAAACCAGAGCATTTGATTTCCCAGGAATGAGTCTGTTGAGATCTCTCAAGCTGAACCATCCTATATTTGAAAATAGAGAACCACTCATCCTATATTTGAAAATAGTGAACCACTCATCCTATATTTGAAAATAGAGAACCACTCATCCTATATTTGAAAATAGAGAACCACTCATCCTATATTTGAAAATAATGAACATCAGGATTGAGAAGCTCCCAAGAGGCTGAAAAAAACCCCAGTTTTCTATTTACTGTAAACAAAGGAACCTTTTCTCCCCATAACTGAAGCAAACAGGTAAAAATTCACAGCAATTTTGCAAAGCTAATTGAGTCTGAAGCCTCTGAACCAAGCGTAGCACAGGTCACATGTCCCCTGATCTCAACAGTTTAATTATATTTTCCCAGAGAAATTAACAACTTACTCATAACTTTTATCAACAGAACATTAATACACAGACATTAAACACAATGACCATCTGTCTTTGAAAACCAAAACTACCCCAGTGATCAGAACATGCTGCTCAACCAGTCCTGCTGGAAAGCAAAGGCTCTGAAATGGTCTCATGAATAGGGATTTCCATCTTTAAATGAGGTTATTTTTCTAGTTTTGGCTGTCAGATGCACCAGCTGGTATTCATCTGATAAAT